TAAGTAAAAATATTTAAAAATATTTTTGTACCACATTTAGTATCAGCTGGTGACACAATCATTATGGATCCAAAACGAAGTAAAAAATGAAGGTGAGTCAGGACCCATTTTGAAGAGTTGGAAGTCTTCCATGGGTCCTGACTCACCTTCATTTTTTACTTCGTTTTGGATCCATAATGATTGTGTCACCTGCAGTTGATACTAAATGTGGTACAGTAATCGCTTTAACAATTAAGCGTTTGCAGAACTGCCCACAAAGATCAAAGAGAGATGGAGTACGATTTATTTATTGAGATGTATGGATACTCCACTAATATGTGCCCAATTCGACTCTTGATGAGAGGGTCGATTGGCCGAAGAGTAATTTGGTGGAATTGTTTATAAACGTTAGTCGACGTAGCCAGACACTCGCGAAAAAGCACGTTTATCCGTGCGCTGCTGGCTAGTGTGTACCGGGTTACCATCGTGGTAGGGGCACGAGGTAGATGCGCAGTCATCACAATTATAAAATAAATATATTGATAAAGCAATCAACAGCTAAAGAAAATTAAGTGAATAAAAGTTTTCATCAAGGCATCTATATAATTATAATTATTTGCAATTTCGATCATAAATACATATGTGCTCTTCCTAATAATAATAATCTTTTAATTACTTTATGTATAATTTTAAACTTGGCGCGAGACACTACCGTGTTTCTTGATAAATACATAGAATAAAACTACTTATATTTATATTCCTCTTTCTCATCGCTAAATCGACACATTTGAATCACTTTCTTATTTTTTTCTTATATCATTGAATATTTCAATCTATGCTTTCTTCTAGATAAAAACATTTCATAAATTCTAATTATGGTTTGCAGAAAGTCTCTTTCTATAAATTTGATTGCTTGTAACTTTTAATAAGATCATAAGTTTTTGAAACTTGACGTCGACTCACAGTTTATCCATATTTCTAAAAAAAATTTCTAAAAAAATTTTCTAAAATTCACAATAAATATTTTTTATTCGACCTAACTGGCTGTTTTTATAATCGTCACGATAATACGACCACTGGTTTTGATCAATTAATCGTCTGGCTAAGGCAATATTTTTTGCAAAAATTCTTTACAGTGATTTAAATAGGATGCTTATACATATATATTAGCATTAAAGTTACATTGATTGAGAAAGACCAAAACCCATGGTTGAAACGTCTGGACGATTAATTGACCAAAACTAATAGTCGTACTGTCGTACGATTATAAACATAGCCAGTTAGGTTAAATAAAAAGTATTTAGTCAATTATTTACCGGCAAAGTAAAAATTAAGCTTTAAAGTTGTCAACAATGTAAATGTAATTTTCATACAATTTTGATATACATTAAATTGTATATTAAATCTCTCTTTGAGAAATAAAATTAACTTTATTTATTTGGAAAGGTATCTTGTAAATTAATTTATAATTATTATCTTATGTCAAAATTTTACATTAAATTGCATTTACTCCCTTCAGGATAATGAACAACTACATCACTTTAAAGTTGTATTCGTGAAAGGGAATCATTAGTGAGAAACAATGTAACCACTATTAATATATTTCAATGAGTACCAAAATGAGTATCAAACACTGTCAATTTTTTAATGAAGAGTTTAAAATATTACAAGCTTAATATTAAATGTTTATATAATGTTTATATAAAAAAATATTAATAAATATTATTAAACAATAAATGTGAAATAAATACATTTTCATAAGAAATTGTAATCTAGGGGAGACCGGGGCTAAGCCGACACTATGTTTTCAAAGGCAATTTTTAATATTTAATTAAAATTTTTAGGCAAATTCAATGATATATATTTAAAGAGTGTTTCTTCAGGTACGTTCAACTACATGTTAGTTAGTTAACTAAACATTAGTTGTTTCAACAATTTATTTAGTTGTTTTTGTTAACTATTAAAATTTTTAAATCAAGAATTGATTAATTCAACTAATGTTTAGTTAAACTAACTAAAATGTTTAGTTGAACGTATCAGACTAAATATTTTTTCGGATTACTAAATTTTTTTTTAGTGTAGATACACGGTCTGTGTTTCGCTGCACGTTCACTTTGACGCGAGATACTATACCGTGTCTCTCGATACAGCATTTTATCAGATCCTGAGACTTTATATCTGTCCTGGCCGCAATAAAAAATAAGGCTTAAATCGAGGCTAAACTCGTTCTATTCTCAAGTCTCGGTGAAAGTTCCAAACTAGAAAACAAGAAAGAGCTCACCTAAGCAGTTATCTTGCGCGACCGCGGAGACGTTTTAACGAGCTCGTTTCGGCTAGGCAGTGCGGACGTTAACGATATTTTAATTGATAAAATTTCGCAGACACCGGTAGACAGCCGTAGCGGGGACACAAATTTCCAATTTTCTCTGTCGCGAGATGGCGAAAAAGTTTAATTGCCGGCGTCCCGCCAGCGTTGCTCGCGCGGAACTTTTTAAAACATTTTCGGTCGACTTAGACGGTCGCTTTTTGCCGGCTTTCTTATATATTTTATGTATTACATATTTTATATATATATATATATATATATCTTCATATTAATTATTTATAAATGATTATATTATTATAATTAGCCAAACATTGAAACAGTTTAGGTAATAACCACCTCCAGCTACTTACTTCGAAACAGCATCAACCAACAGTCGCGAGATGCAAACATTTAGACAGGAAGCACACGCCTCGAATGTGCCGCGGTAGGAACAAATTTATGTTTTAAGACATTTATGACCCTACGCGCATACTATTCTATATAAGATACAAATATTGTCTTATACACTCTGATATCTGAGTCATTATCTTTAGAAAGTAGCGTAAGCTACGTTCCCGAGAACCTTCGTAGAATTGATGCAGCGCATGGTCGGTTTACGCCCAACGCGAGTGTAAATTACAACTAACGAGCGGTATCACTTCCCACACGAGGCAATGTTCCACTCGTACTGCGCGTGTTTCACGGAGTCGATTTTGGTTGCTGTTACATTGATTCTTCGGTCGTAATCGTCGCTGACCTTCGACGCGCGATCGAGAAGTTATCCGTTCGTTTCGCCGAAGAACCAGGTCGTGCCAGGTGAGCTGCCGATCCAGGAAGCTTCGTCGTCGATATATGTCTATACTATCCGAACGAGAGAGCGCCTCGATACCGCATCGTTTGTTACGTCCGGGATGATGTTTTTCTCTATCGAGATAGCGAACGAGGACACGCGCTTGTATAATTTCCCACGGATTTCCACTAACCGAAGCGGACGCTTCTCGGGAATATCTTGCAGGGTCTGCGCTTAGTCATGCCGCGAAGTGCATATTTCAGATTTCGTCTTGATTCACTCCGTTGTATATTTTCCATTGTTATCTCTTTAAGAAATCTCCGCGCGAATTGTATAAAGATCGCTAATTCCTAGAATATATCAATATTCACGATATTTGCGCGTTTATTGGTGATTCATATCTCACGTGAAGTTGCCTTCGGCGAAAATTAGCAAATAATTGCAGATACATGCGAATATTTAGAAATGTTTGAAAACATGCGACTCCATCAATAAAGACGCTTGCATTTTAATTCGTCCGTGTTTAAGCATGTACCTGTTAACGTAATTCTATTATTTAGGAAACGTAGCGCTAGATACACCGCAATTCAGCATTTATTCGTGACCACAAACTTTTTGTATTTTATTCTCTACGAAAGACATATCTAGATAGCAGAATGACATTAAAAGACAAGTGCCATCTACTTTGGTCTGTTAAACGTCATTAGATGTTATTTTTTGTCTCACTCTGATACTTCGACAGTTGTACATACGTCGTTCAATGCATTTGCTTCTGTGTATAATTTTACTAACGTTTATACTATTATTTAAATTTAATTTTATATTATAAATTTTATTAAAAATAGTTCATTATAAATAAAATATTAAATAAACGATGTTTATTAAAATTACTATAAAATCGTCAACTACAATGTAGACAGATGTTTGTGAATTTTTTAATGAATTTTCTAAATACTTTAACGTAGGGAAAATAGCGTCGAACGTAACAGACTCACGTATGCACTGGAAAGGTATACATACGGAGGCTTAGATGGTATTTTTCTTTTTACAATATTATTAGGTTGTCATTTTGACACTCTCGTCTAATGACAACCTTGGGTGCAGGGGGTGTGTTCCACTTAACGCTCACAACGCTCGCGATCATCATTCGTCATTGTCAAAATTTGACAAACAACAAGGATAAAATGATTCCACGAGCGTTGCGAGCATTAAGTGCACCCAATACCCATTCGAACAAAACCTTTATTGTAGGACATAGACAGTCAACTCTCTCGAGTTCTTATATACTATCGCTCGCATTTTAAATACGAGAAACGCCATCTAGCAGACGCCATCTACCGGATGATCCGACATTCGCATACATAGATCTTATAGATATGGACTGAGACAATACATAGCAGATGCCTGTCCGGAGTAAGTTAGAGAGAGAAACATACTTTTCAGTACTCCTCTTTCTTAAAGTCAGGATCGTCTCTCCTCGTGTGCAGAAGTGTGTGCCGCACACTCGGAAATAGCAAGAGGATTCGATAAAAGGATTTCGACAAAGTTAATGAAAAGTTCAAGACGAGTAGTCGAGTTTCTTCCCCCCCCCCCTCCCGCTCTCGATTCGCGTGCGACGTTCAGACCGTTCAGTTATACCAACTCGTCGTCGCAAACGGGATAGCGTCACGCGCGTTACCGTTGCACTTCCGGCTGCAGCGCGACCGCGGCGGGGACGCGGACACGTGGTCGCGGATTCTCGCCCCCCTTGGCCGGTGCCGTCGGTGTAACGCGAGCGAAGGTCGCCCGCCGTCGAAGAAAGGAGGAAGCCGCGCGCGCGGTCGCGGTGGTTGAATAAGCTAGGTCGAATAAGGGCGAGAGCGTGGCGCGCGGGTGCGCGCGCATACCGCAGTCACGCTGCCGCCGGTGAGTCGGAGTCGGGCCGCGTGGTCGGACAACTCGGACCGCGTCGTTCGTTAGTAACGCCGAAGCCTCCGGACGGGAGGGTCACGTGCGACGAGCGTCCTAGCGACGAACAACCGTCGTTTCCTCAGTTTAGTGTCTCATCCGACGCTGAATCGCCTTCCGAATTTTCGACTCTCCGCGTCTCCGGCCGCTTTCCCTCAATCGCTTCGGTGCGCGTCGCGAAATGACATTGATCTAATATCCGAGTGCCGGTACACGCGATCATTCTAATAAGTGTTCGAACACCGGAATCGTTTCTTTGTGATTTGCTATCGAAATATACTTGACACTCGTGTGAACTTGGTGACCGATCGAGAGCGCGCGTTTCGTTCGAGAACGGCGAGCGCGATCAGCGTGAACATAGCCACATATTTCTCGGAGAGTCATGGGAGCATTCGCGCGTTGCGTTCTCGCGCTCGTCGCGACGGCCGCGACGGTCGTCGTCTCGGAGCCGGACGACCTGGCCAAGTCAGACCAGCTGACGATCCTCAAGTGTTGCCGATACGGCGAGGAGCTGCGACGATCGGACGACGACGCGAGTAACGACGGATTGCCGCGCTGCGAGCCGACGTCGAACGAGTGGCAGCCGTTGATCTTCTCGCTGACGCGCCAAACGTTCTACGACGGCGGCAACCTGCCCGCCGACTGGCACGTCGTCGGCGGCCGACGGCCGGAATGCGACGACAGCTCGGAGCTGATCGACGTGCCCTACCGCAGGGCCAACCCGTTCATCCTCCTCGACAATGGAAACGCGGTGCTCGAGCTCAGTAACGCCGACTCCTTTTCCGCCAGTCATTACTGCGCCGATTCGAACGCCCTGCTCGTGTGCATGAAGAAATCGCCGGGCAATCAAGCCGCCGCGACCATGAGACCGCGGGTGCGACGTTGCTGCGGGGAGAACGCCAGTTTCCACGAACGCGGGTAAGTCTCCTCGCACCGAGTTCCTTTTAATGCGTAAAGGACAGTACAGAGGCAATAGGAACGGGGGCAGTAGGACAGGCAACAGAAGTAATCCCGTTTCAATTTGTCATAAAATAATAAAAACTGAAACACTGTGATTGGTCAAGTGACAGGCAATAGAGAATAGAAATTTAACGTGTCGGAAATTCTGTTCCTATTGCCTATTTCATATTCCATTGCGTTAATACACACTACACAGTTTTTTGTAAGATGTGATGATTTCCGTTGCCCGGCTTATTCTCTGTTCCTATTGCCTGCACCTTTGTATTGTAGTGATATGCTTAACTTTGTCGATCGGTCGGTTCAGTCGATCCGAATGACGGACAAGAAAATTAGGTTAGGTTAGGGTACAGGCAGTCAGGTTTAACGACAAGACCAGTGCAAAGTTCTTTAAAATTTTCCATTTATTATTTTGGACACTCACAAAAAAATAGTTGCTTGAAGGATGCACTGCGACGATCTGTTAAAATAACAAACATTGCCAATGAGCGGATAGGATTTTGATTGTTTTATTCATATCATTTTATTTTCATTTGAGGCAGGAAAATTAGAGGAATGTAAATGTTGTGGATTTAACACAAAAGAATTAGACATCAAATGAAACGAGCATTAATTATCAATTAACTATCAGTTAATGATGTCGATCAAAATTCCTTTTCTCACTTCCAAAAGTTGCAAGAAAATGAAATCAATCCAAACGTGATTCTGGAACTCAAAAACCAAAAGAAATATCTAATTGTAAATTAACTACAATAAATTCGACGCTCGATTCGACGTAAAATTTCCTGACTGTAAAATAATAAATAAAACCGATCCACGGTACATATATAAAATTCCATATTTATTGGAAACTGATTAAATGCATAAACAAATCCAATTTCAGATGATTATTTTAATATATTTATAAATGGACAAATCTCAAATAATTGGAGTTGGAATATGACAAATAAATATAAATAATAAGCGTTATGTGTGCACGTGTTACTAATGCTTTCTAAAATAGATTTTTATCTAATAGAATCGATAGCTTTTTATCCGGGTGTTATATGAAATAAATATTTAAGTTGACGACTTGCTTCTCTGATGAAACAGTAATGGATTTCGTAAGTCTTTGACTCAATCATTGAGTAGATAGCTACTTGTTTATTTACCGAGTACCGTTTGAGTGAAATGCGTTAGAGCGACCTTGACGTCTGCGAAACTCGTTCGGTTTTTATTCGAGAATGTTGATGTTGCTCGCGTGAGCTAGTTTCCTGGCGAGTTCTGGCGCGTGTATGTCAGTAAAATATATTATTAATCATTAACCATTCGACAATATCGTACTGTTTTTATAATAAAAATTAAATCATGTATCGAGGCATGACGTGCGGCTGCCAATGTTGAGAATGAAAAACGTTATTGTAACCTTTTTCAGGTGATTATTTAACCTTTTTAGATGATTAAAAATGACAAAAATATAAAAATATACGACGAAAATTTTCTACCAAGCCTATGAATTACTTGTGACTCACTAGAAATACCTAGACGGAAATCTTTCGAGATAAAACGCATCAAGTATGAAGCTCAGCGGACCTGTTCTGAGATATATCGGCATTGACAATAGATTTTTATCACGAAACTTTTCCAGGCGCATCATATTTAAGAGATTAGACGGAGAAAAAGGGCTCAGACACAATGACAAAAATAAGGAATAAGATAAAGGAATAAGGAATAAGGGAATGTCGCATCTCACTTCAGTACACGTACGTTAAAGTGAGATGCAACATGCCTTATTCCTAATTCCTTTATCTTCTTCCTTATTCCTCTCATTGTGACTCAGCCTAAAGGCGTTAAAGATTTAATTCGAGATTTAATTATTAAATTTAATATTTCGGTCTGTGTATGCAGAACGTTAAAGAAATAAGTATATATAAGACAAGAGAAAAAAGTTTATGACTGCTTTTACAATTTCTCAATTTAACAAACGACGTTGTAAGAAATATTATTTTTTTGTGTCAACAGAAATACCTGCGTATTCATAAAAGAGACTGCGGACGCACCACCTCTGCTACCAAATGCTTCGTCCGCCGTCGAGATCGTGGCTGGATTCCCGACCTGCCCGAAATCCGACAATTTTACGATCGTCGGAAACGCGATGGATGCTGCGTTGCAGCCCAACGGCAGCCTGGAGATAAACGGAGTCGTTTTACCCAGCGGTCAGTTCTGCGTCGAGAGGATTAAGGAACTCGATCAGGTCGCTAAAGTGTTCGCCTGTCCGGAACATGCTCCACAAAGGTCAGTACGAGTGACAATTGAAATCGAACGTCGTAGTTTATATTTTTGTTCTCGCTGCACTTATCTACGCCGCGTTACAAATGATTAAAAAATTCTTCGACGATAACCCGATATTAGACGTACGCGTAAATCGCAGGAAGTTGAATATCGATCCCTCAATTATGCAAAGCGAATCCTCTGTTCTTCTTATTTGCTCGATCATCGTTCATTCGTCCCGCGTAATGAAGAATGAAGTCGACTCGCGGTCGGTTCCGGCGGTCAACTCGTCCGACCCACTTTAAGGCACTCCGAGCACGATCCGACTTTTTGCCTCGTCAAGTATCGCCTGCTCCGATCTGAATTTATCGCACGGCTTAATTGCGCGTTCGACGTTAGGTGGCTGGAGCGAGGGATAAACGGTGCCGTTTCTATACGTACGTCGTTCTCGGGACGACCGACGCGTTGAGGAAACGTCCCGGCCGGGCCGCTTCATTGCTCTTGCTCCTCGCCAGGTATTTTCTAGGTCGCGTGTATCCGAGATCCCACGTCATCCGAGATTCCATTAAAACGTTCTCACAATCGCGTTTCCGCGCACCAGACCGATGAGCGATGTATAAACGCTTCTGCCCGTGGGTGTTGCGTAAGGCAAATGGCATTGTCATACCTACTTGCGAGGTTTTTTCTCTCTCGTTCCGTTATTTCTCAGAATTTTAATATAATTGAAGCAATTCTAATCTTTCTTTTCTAGAGTTGATCTTTTAAAAAAATAATCCCGTGAGATAATTGAATCTAATATCCAAAGATGTAGGAAAGTGCCAATATACATTTGTGTCACGTAAAAAGCGACATTTCAAAGTCATAATATTTCTCAATAGATCTCTGAGATGTTATCTAGAATTTTTCTATTTAGAAAGAAACGCGAAATTGTCACGAGCCTTTGTACAAGCGTTGTCAGAAGTTACGGCGAAATGCAGATATTTTTGCGTTATGTAACAATATCCAGCGTGCTAAACGTCAGGTGATTTACGGCATATGTCACGTAACGTAAGATAGGGTTAGAAGATCTTATTCGTCGAGACACGCGCGTCCCGCTAAGACGAAGGACGAACCGTGATGGATTGACGGGCAGACATGCAGGACATCGCTGATAGTAAGATCCAGAGAGTTTCCATTCGGTACAGAGACGTAATGTCAATGTCATGTAGTGCCGCGGTAGTACACACATATACAGCGAGAATTCCCGCTTACGTAGAATATGTCGCTAGCGGGGATAGTGTACCAACGAACCGTGTTTGTCTCCCGGATTCAAAGTGTCGCCGGCGCGGTATTTAGCGAAAATTGCCGGGTAGAATTTATGGCAAAAGTTTAATCGCCGTTAGGTGCATAAAGTAACATCGAAAATGCGATTACCGCCGCGCATTTGCGCCCGATGCAGGACCGATTTTGTAGAAAGTTACTCGGTTCGTATTCTATTTGCGCTTGTATGTGTATGTGCGTGTCAATACGGGTCAATTGACACACAGCATTTTGTTTCCCGTGAAAAATTTACTCGCCAACTACTTCAGCGAACGGCAATCAATGGAACAAAACGTGATCGGACGCGGTGGATTTTTTTTCCATTGTGAATGCTTTCCGCGAATAGAGTCGGCAGGTTATCGCGACTTTTCTCAAAATTGGATAAAATCAATCTTTGACTGTACGTGTGTTAAATGCACATATCGGACTTGATACGCGATGTAATCGAGATTTCAAATCAGAAGTTATCATTATTATTTTATGACAAGAAATAAAATGCAATTTTTTTGAAAAAGAGCTTTTTTTTAACTAATAAGTGATTTTATGCTATTATCATAAACATAAATATATCTATTTTTTGCAATAGTTATATCTTTATTATAGAATATGTAAATAACGTTTAATGATGCTCGTATATAGGTTTTTTATCCGACAAAAGTGTTTCCAGTAAATATTGAGTCAAATCTTTTGAGATCTTGGAAGTACTTTCCCGGCGACTTTCACTCGGCATGTGTGTGAGTGATTGATGCGAGTTAAAGCCGTAAACAATCCTGAAAACGGAAATCCGTTCGTCCTGAACGTCCTGAATGCGGTCGCATCATGATATTATTAGTCGCGATGAAAAATTGTTTCGTCCGAATCTTCCAGGAATCTTAATTAAAAACGGACGTAACGATCGCCGATAACGCGGTATTATTTCCGTTATAATCGATCGAATATCTGGCTCGCTGCCCACAGCTGGCAGTAAGCCAATCGGTCAATTGCCGATGTGACGCCGATAAAACTGCCCGAATTTAATTAATCCGCCAGCGCGAGAAATAACGAGAAATAGCGCCATAATTCGCCTTTTTCTTTCGCGACTTTTTGTCCGTAGGTAGTAGAAAATATCGACAGAACCGACACTGGAATTTGCATGTTAAATGTATGCTAACCTTCCTTTCCGTCGCCATGTAAAAAAAAAAAAAGATTTAAACTGGGGAAATAGAGAAAAGAGGAATTTATGGCAAAAGTACGTGCGTTATCGCAACGACAAATTATCATTACTTCTTTTTACATTAATTATTATTTATTTATCACAAGATATCGGTTAATAAATTATAAATTATTTGGATTTGAAATTTGTCGCTAATTGTTGCAGGTATAAATTTATACGTATTTATTTAGGCCTTCCATTAATGTATGAACACACAATAAACCGTAATATCATAGTAACTCAAATTAAATGACTGTTATTTGATACGTATGTTATATTGATCCATTGTCTGATGTACAATCAAACAATACGCATGAGGGTGACCGATTCTACGAATAAATATTTAAAATTCAAAGCGCAAAACAGAACAATTTTTTGTATTTTGCCGATTACATGGTCGGCTCATTAAATTTCATGATTTTTAGATGGAACTTTTAAATTGTTGTGCGTCGAGCTTTTTACGTCGAACAGATTTAGATGAAAACTAGTCAAATTATCTAATCTACTCAAATTTAGATAAAGACTATCCAAAGTGCCTAATCTATTCAAAATTTTTTCAGGCCTGTGGTGAAAGCAACGGACATCAGATTCACCTTGTATCCCGTGGGCTTCATCATTAGCGCCGTCTTCCTGGCCGCTACTCTGGCGGCCGGTTGGTTACTACCAGCCTCTCATCACGTTCTGCACTGGCGTTGCCAGACCCATCATGTCGCCTGCCTGATGATGGGCGATATTCTCATGGCCATCATTCAGCTCGCCGGAGATTCCCTTCATGGTGCAAGTTGCAAGGCGCTCGGTGAGTCTTCATTATTACCTTGTTAATTTTTTCACCGCCAAATTCTTTTCAAAGTGTATTGAAGACATAATCATAATCATCGGCAAATTGATTCTCATAAGATGTATTTTTAAATTTTGATTAACTTTTTCGTTTAACTGTTTCGTTTAACTAAATGATCAAACCGTGAATTTAGTTGGCTCGACGCCGTAAATTATCAGAACGAATCCACTGATCGATCTTTAAAATCGCGATTCTGCAACACCGCCCGAAGGCTGGCTCTCTCCATTAGCGATATGAATTTTCGCGTTATACACATGCCATCCGTGTCGATGTGCGTGTGTACAAAGTAAAAGTTAATTGAACCCGCGGCACGCCGTCAGACATGTTTACACTGTTATTTATCTTCTCGTCCGTTGAATATTTTTGCCATTTATCTCGAACTTCTTCCCGCTCCCCTCCCCGACCTTCCCTTCGCGATACGCAGTGTCTCCCATGAAAACATCAAGGAGACCCTCACCGTGACTTTGGCTTTGACCGAGAATTCCAATGTCGCTCAGACGTTAGGCGCCCATTTAAGGAGAAAACGCGCCGCTGCCGTAACGTCGTCTTGAATGAGAGACGAGAGAGTAAATCAAAGCCTCGTTGCCTTTTCAAGACGTTGCGCGTTGTATGCCACGTTATATATGTCGATCCGAGAGACGGGACGTGAAAGAGGATTTTACGAGGGGATTTTTAGAAACGTTTTAATTATTAATCTATTATCAACAATGTAGACATGTAATTAAGATATACCATTATGTAGATATACAATTAATTTGTATATTATTAGTAATAGATATATTTTTCTCTAACATATCTCTGACTCAGGAGCACTTGCAAGCCGATCAATTAAAAACTAAAAAAATTTAAATATAGAAGAAAATGCTATTTACGAATCTTGGTAGCCTAATAATATTTTTGTATTCCCAAGTACACACATATTTCCAACCAAGTAAACTACGCGTTGATTGGTTGTCGACTTTAAAATATAGCTTTCGTTGAAACAATAAAATCCCCCTCCCCTCCTACTTAAATCGATAACCGATTTACTTTGATGCTAATACGAGCATTTTTTTATCTTGTTTCGCGTTTACATATCTTTCAATCTCTTGATATTGTCGTATTTCTTCGCTTACCAAGTGACTCGGGGAACCCACTCAACTCGCGTTTTTTCGTGCGTCGCGCGAGAATGCTGTATCCATAATCTCCGGACCAGCGGCGACATCGGAGGAAAGAAACCGTCGCCGTGATATTTTCGATGTTTACTTATTTTGATAAACGAATTACGGAAAGTTTTACTTGTGTATAAAATAAGCAAGATGATAAGGCGCAACTTGAAAGATAAAAGTTTTGAAATAGACGATTTCGATATTTATTTAAACTATGATTAACATTCTGTCTCAAAATTTTTTATCACCACATGTTTCAGTGGTCGAATTGATAAAAGATGTCACGAGTTGAGAGAAATTCGAACTCTGATTGATATTTTAAGGCAATAAATTCCTTATAATAATTTGAATAGGATGCTCTTATTAGCATCAAAGTAAATCGATTATCGATTTATGTAGGAGGAGAGGGGGATTTTACTGTTTTAACGAAAGCTATATTTTAAAGTCGACAACCAATAAACGCGTAATTTACTTGGTTAGAAATATGTGTGTACTTGGAAATACAAAAATATTATTAGGCTATCAAGATTCGTAAATAGCATTTTCTTCTATATTTAAAATTTTTTAGTTTTTGCTTTTGCATAATTTCTCATACTTACATTATTCAACTGATTAGAGGTTAAACTCAAGCGAATTATAAAACTTACTTATGTTATACTTTTTGCGTGGATTATAGATACGTGTTTAATAAAAGTGATTCGACATTTATAATATTCACGATATTCTTCAAATGTATTAAGAAACGACAACTTTATTGGCGAGAGGACTCATTTAATAAGACATGTGTTCTCATATGCGTGCGCGTGAGAGACGATAAACTTGTATTTGGCTAAATCCCAGAGAAATTACTTCTGCCGGCAGTTAGCCGGTGTAGTAAGTAAAATGCAGTGTCCATTCGACGAAACGTGGACTAACGATTCCTGGTTACAGGACCAACCCCATCCCGACCGCCGTCTCGCTTGAGAATCCAATATTCGAAAATTCAATATTGTACGGTTAGACCTATCTATGGATTCTACGGAGTACGTAACGCGCGTACTCCCGGATATTGCCCAATATTAGAAAAAGCAGACTGCGTCGAGGACTATACGGGAACGATCCGTCTCGTCGCCGTCGGAGGATCCGCGAGGACGGTCGACGTTGATCTCGCCCCTTACTTATGTCGCGACGCGAGGGTCGAAAACAGACCGGCGGCGGCGTCTCTTCTTCTCCGTCGCACGCGCGCACTCATGCAACGCCCTTTCGCATCTCTCCAATAAGTTCGGAAGGATGATGAAGCGCTGAGAATCTGAGCGGAAAAAGCCGGCTACGCTCGCTCGTTTCTTTCGCTGACTTTCCGGCGCGCAAATATAGGCGCGCACACGCCGAATGCGGCGAACCGGCACGAAAAAGGGGAGACGAAAAGGCAACTACGTTCTACGTACAGGGTGGTTTAGTAATTGCCAGCGAGAGATAAGTGATACTTCTTGTTGCGGAGTAAATCGATCCGAGAATAATTATCTCCTGTTAATGGCTGCGTTAGGGTATCTGTGGTCGCAGCTCAATGCGTATGCGATCATATGTTTACTTTCGAACTAAATGGTGTCTCTTTTCCATCGATAAGTAACGAAAATAAAACAGACCGTGCTTGACAGAAGTGAAATCGTAGCTGAGTTTCCATTTATCGTTACGATATTATTATCAAATCAAGTCGGATAACAATATTTTTACCGGATTTTCATTTATATTTATTTCACAGATAAGATATCCAAGAGTCTTTTTCTGTTTCTTTCCTGACTATAATTTTAGTTGTAATATAATAACGCAAGATATTAATTAATCTACACATAGAACCAATTAAATTTGAAATACCGACGTCTGTCTGATATTACATGCACATTAAATTATAATTATAAAAAGTTTAGAATCAAAGTTTTAAAAAAATATTGCAAATCAACTTGTCCTACGATAAGAAGTTATGATATTTCTCTTAATTGGTACTGTCAAAATTGGATAAGGATTCTCAGATAAACATTGCAAATTTCTTTTCAGTTTGATCTTATCGATGATATTTTCGTGCTGTAGCATTTTTGTAACATTTTTTCCCGAGAGCCCATCCAATTACGGAAGCACCCCTAATACGCGACGTCGGCCGTTTGGAATGCGTCCATTTTACCGAAACGAATCCGACCGTAGTCGCGCGACGGAGTTTCCGGAACTCGCGCTAAAACAACGAGACCGAGGAAGAAGCGTCGCGACGCCGCCTGGTACATCGCGGCAGACGTGGTTCAGACAATCAGTAACATTCTCGGCCGCGTTTCTTTTCTCTTTCCTCCTCTTTCCTCTCTGCTTGGCCCGCGTCCTTACCTCTAGTTGTTTGCGCGTGTTTATGTCGAGTTTTTATCCCCCTACTCCTCAAGGGGAGGGGTAGAGACGTTGTCCGTTTTTCGTATTTACCCTTGTTTGTCCGTTCCGCTACGCGCAAGACATTGAGACATGGAAGCAAGAAGCTGGAGACGTCCGCTCGCGAGGTTTTTGCTTCTGCGAACGCGGACGATACGCGGAGTCTCTTGAAGGTGGCCAGATTTTTAAATTGCAAAAAGGAACAGTGATGTTTCCTCGATTTTCCTGTTCGCCGTCTGAGAGACATCTCTCAAAGGAGACAATGTGATGACAAATTTGGAAGAACTTTTATGCACGGAGTATACGCGCGAAGAACTGAAATTCGTTGTAAATCTGTTTCTCGTCACACCTATCATTTTCTTTATGCTGCTTTTTCGCAACGTCTACTCAAGTCACCTACCCATTTTTGCCTTGACGCTTTTCTTGCCGACTGCGAGCCGGAATCCCTTTTTGATTGACGTAAAATTGCGATGAAACGTAAAAAGGTGAAGAGGGCGTGAAGCCTACTTCTTCCAGGCGTCCTATCAATCTTTCGAAATCCTCGCGTCTCGAAGCTTCAAACTTACAACATACTTTTTTTATTTAACGTTTCGATCCACTTTTCTCCCCGTCTAATCCTCAATCGATGACTTTCGGTGTAATATCTCATTTCTAATCGCCTTAATATGTCCGCTTCTTCGAGTGTTTACGCGCGACAATAATAAATCCTGGACCCTCATCGCGATGTCACTTTCGAAGTTTTCAAGAAGATTCTCATTCAACATTTACTAACAATTAACAGCATCCGAATACATTCGCTATATAAATATCGATATTAGTAAACGAAAATTTGCTTGGGGGACGATAAGATGGAATATTGCAGTTCGATATGAATACCGCCGCCGCAATGATACTCGGAAGATCTCTAGAAAATTTCGCAGTTTCCTAATCGCGAGGGATGAACGTAACGATGATATTGCGGGGAGACAATCTTGCGACGTATATATTCATACTCATGGTAATGACGATAGTAGTCATAAATTGTCGTCGACCGTGACAGTGCCAAGCTCATTTACTATTACGACGATAATAAATTGGTGGACGACTCGGAGGATCTATACCTTGCCATTATTGCTGCGCTTATAGTAGCACTTCCCTGGCAGTCAATTATATATATATATATATATATATATATATATATATATCTATATATATATTTATCGCTCCGTAAGTTGATATCCTACGAAGTGATATTCTCGCATCTAAATAAGCGAGAGAGAGAGAGAGAGAGAGAGAGAGAGAGAAGGGGGGGAGGGAGAGCGTGCGAGCTGCTGTCTCGATTCGTTTATTTTCTTTGTCCGTTTATTTTCTCTTCCAGTGATGCTCTTAATTTCTCGAAAGAAGTAGGACATTTCTCGCGATCTAAATAGGTGACCTAATATACAACAT